AAACTGCGGCGACCATGGATTTAAACTGCGGCGAAGAAGATGAATATGCGAGCTGGGGAGGAAATCACTCAACCGGGATTCGAACCCAGATCTTCCTCTGTTATGCAGCCATCATAACCAATGGGCCACTGGGGACTTTCATTGGAAGTTCAAATCCAAATCGATTTCTTATATAAAAGAGTATCTCTTCGGGGATCTCGTCTTGCTGTTTAAGACGTGGAAGAAGAAGAAGATGGCGTATCACGTGGTGGCTCCAGAAATTTTCCGACATGTCCGAAGCTAGGAGGAGTCAGAATCATAGGCCGACTAGAGCCTCGGTTGGGGTCCTGGAATAAAAAAAAAAAAAATCCTGGTAGAGTTCATGATGATAGTTTTTATGACTGAAGTCTGTTTTCCACTTGCGAATTAAATTTATTCGTGCGAGTCGAAAGCGTCGGTTCATGCGCATGCGTATTCACATTTCTCTCGGAGTTTTCGCTTTAGCGAAATCGGTAGTTCGAACCGTTTCTGCTTTTTGCGAAGCGAAAAATGTGCGCAACCAATCAGAGCTCAGGAACCGAACCGAAGCCTTTGATTCGCGCGAATAAATTCGCCAGTGGAAAACAGGCTTTAATCCAAAATGTGCTTTTAGCCCACAATATTCAGAGGCGGATTTAGGGGGGAGGGGTTGGGCGGTCTGGTCACGTCTCTCCCCTTTTTTGGAAAGTGAAAAAAAAAAGAAAAGGAAAAAATTGACCGCCCAAAACGCCTCGTTATTTTAAGACGTCTAGAACACAAAAATTTCGCAGGGCAATGACGCCCCCCCCCCCCCGGACACCCTAGGGTGGTGTTGTCTCGACCGGTCCCACTTTTGACACCCTTTCGGCCCTCCTTTTCAGACATCTGTAGAACCGCTCCTGATATTAGGGATTGGCTATCAAAATAACGTTATTTTGATATGAGTGACCATTATTCTGGCTCCGAAACCTAGACTCGGAAAATTTAAAACGAATACTGTCAAGGAAAGGTTAAGGTTATTTATTGTAGTAGCTGCTCTCTAGGATATGTATTTCTGGGATGTTTTAATCTAGGCCCCTACCCTATTTGTGAATATATCTAGTTACAGTTAGATATTTCATAAATATCTACTGTACCTACATAACCATATTCAAATCCTCAAGCACCGGGTAAATTTCGGAATCGTCCCAGTGCATTCACATCCTCCTTCCGGGGGCTGCATACATATCTCTTTGCATGAAACACCACGTTCAAAAGAAAAACAAAATGTTTTTCAAATTTCCTAAGAGATGCTGCTTTTTTTTCACACTTATAAAAGTAGTTGTGTGATAATTCTGCTGTCAAAGGATGACGCTTTGGAATTTTTTCAAAGGTCTGAGATGCAATTTTCATGCATTTAGAGTTGGTTATGTCATTCGCCATGTGTGCGGAAGGTGCCGGATTTTAAATTATAAAACGAAATAGAGAAAAAAAAGTATGTCTGAGAGTGCCATTTCCGTCAGGGTGCCTCATAAGTGTTCTTACCTCAGTCCCGACCATGGGGGACTGAGCTGTACACCATCCATCTATGAAAGTCACTTACTGTGCCCCTCTATCTTGATTCTGGATCACCACTGTGGAGGCTTTCTTTTTCAGATTCCTTTTTCGTCTGTTCCGTTTCTATTTATATTATTTATTGTTTTTTCCGCTTGCTGTTTCTCCTGGGTTTTCCCCAAATGCCTTAATGTCACATTGTAGACGTGTTTCTAATACTTGAATCAGTAGGATACCAATCTTACGAAACGGAAGCAGGCTTATACTCCAGATTAATCCGGATATTCTCCGGATACAAATCAGCTAACCAACATAGACCCACGCGAATGAGAATTGTTTCATGAAGCCAACAAAATTAACAGCGAATCATTAGTGTTCTAGCGGGAGTAGCGAAAACATGTCGACATTATTGAATAGATGTTAGTGAGTTTTTCACGATTTAGACTTTATTTTAACGACGTACATAAAATTCGCTTCCTTGTTGCTTGTATAAGACACACACTCACTAATTGTAAGAGAGTAAGACATAGACTTGAGATTGCCTACAGTGGTCACTCCAGTAATAGAGAAAAATCAGTGAAATTGCACTATTTTGCACTATTTTAAGGGGAAAAAAATCACTTTTAAGAGTGAATATTTACTCACGAGAAATAGTAGGTCTATACATAATTAGAGTGATCTCTGTAGGCACTCTTCCAGAGTGAAATTCACTTTTTTCATTTAGAGAATATGTTTCGAAACTGCAGTAACTGTTGTAAAAATATAAATATCACTAATATATCAGTAAGTGTTTCATATTGTGAATAAAGTTTATGAATAGAACAATTTCTGGTAGCATAAGCAATGTACAGAAAAAGGACCAGTTTGTTGCTTGTGTATTGCATCTCTATATTATGAATTACGAATATAATTTTTAAACTCTGTGATAAAATATTTGGTATGGTATCTTAATATATTGTACAACTAAGGTTGTCACAAACAATTCTGGTATTATTGCTAGAAAACAACAATTATCATTCAATCTGCTACTACTACTGCTAGTAGTAGTATAAAAACTGGTCTCGACCATGAGGGACTGAGCTAGTGTACACCATACATCTATGAGAGTCACTCACTGTGCCCCTCTGTTTTGATTCTGGATCACCACTGTTCGAGTCACTGTGGAGGGTTTCTTTTTCAGATTTCCCTGTCGTCCGTTCCGTTTCTATTAATTATTATTATTATTATTTTTCCGCTTGCTGTTTCTCCTGGGTTTTCTCCAAATGCCTTAATGTCACATTGTACACTTTCTGATACTTGCCTCAGCCGGATACCAATCTTACGAAACGAAAGTAGGCCTATACTCCGGATCAATCAGAAAGTGGTTTTGTTAGAAACGAAAGATTTGGATACCAATCAGCTAACCAACATATACCTACGCGAATGTGAATTGTTTCATGAAGCCAACAAAATTAACAGCGAATCATTAGTGTTGCACTTCAAGCAGGAGTAGTGAAAACATGTCAACTTTATTGGATAGATGTTGGTGAGTTTTTCACGATTTAGACTTTAAAATTCGCTTCCTTGTTACTTGTATAAGACACACTCTCTAATTGCAAGAGAGTGAGTCATAGACTTATGAGAGTGCCTACAGTGATCGCTCCAGTAATAAAAAAAATCAGTGAAATTGCAGTATATTTTCACTATTAAAAAAAAATCGCTCTTTTAATAGTGAATGCTCACTAACGAGAAATATCCCTAATTAGAGTGATCTCTGTAGGCACTCTTTCAGAGTGAAATTATTTTTTTGCATTTAGGGAATAGGTTTCGAAACTGCAATAACTGTTGTAAAACATATAAATATCACTATATGTATCAGTTTAAGTGTTTGTGATGAATAGAACAATTTCTGGTAGCATAAGCAATGTACAGAAAAAAGACCAGTTTGTTGCTTGAGTTGGATCTATGCGCCTTGAGTAAAAATACACAGCAACTGATTAACGAGTGGCTACACACGCAAAGTTGTATGGACAGAATAGACAGGCCTGGTGTAGGCTTACGTGAACTAATAAAACACTTTATAATTTGCTCTTATGGGTATCATTATATTTCTCAGTCTGAAGACACAATATTCACTTCTAGTCAAAGATTTGTAAATCTCTCCCTATCAAGGAAGACCTATTTATCCTCTTAATTGTTTCAATTTGGCATATAGCTCAACATCTGATTAAAATATATTTATTTGTAGGACGGTCTCATAAAATAGAGCACATACTCCATTATAGGCCTACAACAAAAATGTATCGCTAATGTTATGACTATCTTCATAGTGACGGATTCTCCAAATAGAGGGATGGGGTCAGGGAGGGACCAGCGTATCTAGGGGTGCGTACGCCCCAAAAAATACTCGTCCCCCAGACAATTAGTTGAAAATCACCGAGCGCCCCTAGAGAAGTGGCGTAACGCCCGTGAGTTCTTGAGGGGCGAGCATCGGATCCCCACTCAAAATGGGCCCCGGAGAGGCCTGTGGCTCTCTTAATACTACCCAGCAATTTACTTAATAGTGGCGAACGCCTGTGTTTTTTCCTTGGGCCCAGTCCCAAAGGGCCCCAGAGAGGCCATGGAGGTCCCTCTTTTAATTTACTACCCAGCACTCTACTACAACTATATTTTTCAAAAAGTAGAGGGGCCCGGGACCCTCTTACTACGACCCAGCATTTTACAGTGGAGCTTTGACCAGCTGTGTAACACCTGTGGGCTTTCTGCCCAGTTACTAATGAGTGCTGGAGATGCCACGGGGACCACTCTCACAACTACCCAGCACAATTTGGTACATTTTATTTGAATTTTAGATAATGTATAGGGCCCCTGCCGACTGCATCCCCAGCCACGCTAAAATCTGCCTCTATCTTATAAAACATCATAAAAAGGACTAAACACACAATTACCCATCATAGTATACCTATTAATAAGTACATGTAAAAACATTAAAAATAACATGTTAAATTCGATTCTTACTAATAATTCGGATACTTGGATGATACACAGAAAGCCGGCAAAATCATCGTTTCGACCATAAATAACGGCCATCAAAACAGTCAATTAATTTGGTTACTTTACCGTCTTTATGTTGGTATTCTCAAGCCAATTACCAGTAGTTAGAAGACCCGAAATAAAGTGATTTTATTCAATTTATAAACGCTCCAAAAGCCATAAAAAGGTGAGAAAGAACATTGTTAGAAGCTGGGAAGATTATGAGAAATTTGAAATAATCTAAGTCTGTTAAAGCTGATTGAGGGAGTCATGACAAACTAATTGTGAAAGGAAGAAAAGAGCAGAGAAAGCCGAAGGCCCATACAGTTATTATGAGGAAAGAAAATTTGTGTAGGTCTCTGATTTTATGTAATGTTAATATAGTATTATTAGTCTGTTTTAAAAATGTTGTAATGGTACCTTATAGAATGTAACCATGACCATGCGTAATATTGATCTGCAGCTGTATATATACGAATCCTGTTTTTTTTAGCAATATCAGAGTTGACTGACTGGTACTTGCTGTGGTATTAGGTTCATCGCATTTATGGCTTAGGGACAGCGGTGCTTCCTCCCTCCGTGTAGTCACGGTAAATCAGGGGTAGTAAACCCGGCGATCGTGGATTCGATTCCCACACGGGCCAAGTTTTTTTTAAAAATTTTATTATTATAATATTTATAATATTTTATAATTGGATTATTATTATTTATAATTATTAAAATAGTATAGGCAGGTGGCCGCAATATATAAACTGTGCTTTGCTGTAAATGTAAATTGTAAGTGTTAAATAATATACAGGATCTGTGATATATTCAACTTGTGTAATTGTGTAACGTACATTTTATCGTATTAAAAGTCTCGTCTCTGTTTTAATATTGTATTATGGCTGTACAGTATGTTACTTTTATGAACACACTGCAAGAGCGTTTCCGCTGTTTTAAAAGCGTCGTTTCCAAAATGAAGTTATAGTAATTATATAATTAATAGTATGCAATAGAAACAGCAAATCATTTTTAAGATTGTAAAACATCACCTTTATTTTCATTGTCATTCGTATTTATACAGGCTGTACAAACAGTTAAAATTAAGAAGAATCATTTTTTAATATTGTTTAGCGAACAACTTTTAAAGGTTGTCAGAAAAGGGGGAATTTTTTTTTTCTTATTTAGCTTAAATATTTTTCCGAACGCATGTAGGCGAATGAGAAAATAAAATTAAAATTTTAATGATGAACGTAATTAATTAAGGAAGGAACGAAGAGCGTAATAAAATACATACTTATTAGTTAATTTACATTTTTAATTAAAATACGTCGGGTCTTCAGTTTTCGTTAATTAAAATGTGACGAATTAACTATAATTTAAAGAAATTCTAATTCATTTCAATAATTTATGCGAGCACGGAATTTACGAGAGCACGCACGCGCGCAAATATTCGATTATATATGAATTCTAATACGCTGTCCATATTAAGTGATGTTAATTATAAAATATAATTGTAAACCCAATTAAGTGTGTGAAATTAATATGCAATGTACGTAACTCATATACTTTGCATGTGTTCATCGAGAAGATTATGACACAAGGTGGACGGTGTGTACCACGTGACTTTCGCAAACCAAGGAGCGGAATGTCGCAACTCTTTATATATATGGCTCTGGGTTCCTAGATCCGCTCCTTATGCCACGACTGCTTGACTGTGTGATAATTTAATTATTGGCAAAGCTTCATTAGAACTTATGTAACCTAACGCACTAATGAACGTACGTAAATGACAATTTATGTATCAACCTACTAAATATTCAAATAAAAATGTGTGCAAAATATTAGTTATTATATTGTTGAATAGTCACACGATATTTTTTAATATTGTCTAATACATAAATGCAGTATTTTCAACCTTAACAATAGGCCTAATTATAGGGCGATTACCACCCCGAACACTTCGCTAATATACAAGGGGCCCCAACACTTTCTCGGCCCTAGCCACATGACACCACTGGGGCTGATGTAAAAAAAAATATTAATTTTGGCACCATGGCTGGAAATGGCACTCATAGGCCTTAATTTGAATATAATTTTCTTTTTCTCTCCGAATTTTTTTTTATAATGTTTTTTAAAAAAAATGTAAGGGTGGGGTGTGTACTTCATGTATAATAATAAGCTTTAGGACACTCACAAATGTATATACTTTAAAAAAAAAAAAAACATTTGTAAGACACGTCTCGGTACTAAATGGTCTAATGAAACATTATGACACTGCACATTACCAAACACAGCGAACGATGAACCTAAAAAATAATATTGAAAACGATAGGAAGTTATTCGCTAAGGACGGACTTAGCAGATAGAAAAAAATACGTCAATCTTTCATGAGGAAATCAATTTAGTTTCTTCCAAAGTGCCAACTTGTTAGGTGTATACAAGAAAGTGTTCTTTAATTTTTGTGATCAAAAAAAGAATAAAAATATGCAGTATTTCTGTGTGCTATCTGTATTGTTTTATAAAATATTCCATTACATTTTTTTATGTAAGCCTATTTTATTTGTCCACTTAGGTATAAAATAAAGACACCAAGACTTCTCATTGCATGGATCCTGTTGTGTAGGTCAGTATACAGTAAACTACAGTAGACTTAACGTAAAGTACATTTTACAAAGAATACATTATGAAACATCCCCAGGCATTAAGGTTCAGGCATATGGAATATCTTCATAAAGAAACAAATGGTTTTATAACATGTGTGAGGATGTCCAGTTCTAAATTTCTGATATTTCCCCTTCAGTGTATTTTCTGCTAAACAAGCCAGATTATCAACTGATGAAGGCAAGGTAACACAATTGAGTTTTAATGTGTATTCGAGGAAGCTTACATGGAATATAACTTACGTCAGAGGCTCCTCACTTCCAGTAAAAATAGTGGAATATATTCGAGGCAAAGAATATATTAATTCAAATTATCGTGATAGAGTTAGTGTTGAAGAAGATTTTTTTCAATTCACTCTTTTTATCCACAACACAAGCCGAACTGATGGTGGTACATATACATGTTATAATGATGAAGATTCTAGTGAGGCCATAACATTAACCGTTATGTGTGAGTACAGCTTCAGTCTTAGTGTTTTTTTCATAATAAAATACTTTTTAAACTCTATTTTGTTTCCATAAATTATTTCATTATTTACGGTAATAGTGACATATTCCGGGCATCTGTTATAAGTGAAAATATTGAATCTGAATTTGTCCGTGTACAGTAATTAATAACATATATATTGCGTACGTTGTTTTTGCTTAGATCTGGATTTACCAACTTTAATAACTCAAGATTTCAATGTGAATGAGGACGATACTGTTACCTTCACATGTTTATTGGGAGAGGGAAACCCAAAACCAAGAATAATATGGTTAAAGGATGGCAAAGAACTTGATGTATCCAATGCGACGAAGTATCCAGCGTCTAATGTATCATTGGTGATAAGTAATGTGACTCAACTTGACGAGGGCAAATACAAATGTCGGGCTGAAAATGAAGTATTAACTAAAGAAAGTAGAGAGACTGCAACACTGACAGTGAATAGTAAGTATGATTACTTATGTCATTATTGTTTTAAGTACGATTTAGTAGATAGCATGCGCAAAAATCAGATCGCCCTGCGCTACGGACTCCTTTCCGCCATCTTCACGGAGACTTTCAACGATTTATGTACATAAACACCAGTGTAGGTTACTTCAATATCTCTTTTTCCCAAACTTTAAGCCTTTATAATAGACAGTTTTATATATATCAAGGATGTTTAAAAGTTTTAAATTCTTCCCCATGTGTGTTTAAAAATAACTTCCTCCCTAGCTCTAAGCAACACACTTAAGCGTTTCGAGTTGTTCCTCATTTTTCTACACATATATTTTGTCTTATCTTGTTGAAATTGTTTTTCTTTTTTTCTTTTATTTTTTGATGGGTTTTGTGTGTCCTTTTTTGGAAAACGTGTCTGTGGTTTCATGATATCAGAAACTGCTTTTTAGAGTCATATGTGTACACAGTTTGATAAATAAATATATATAAATAAATATACAATCAACTCAATTCAATTTCAACTTTATTTGGTCCTTGCAGAAAATATTTTGAGTGTATTATTTAAACAAATACAAAGATAAAATATTAATAATACCGTACTATATAAAAAACACCATATTAAAATACTTAAGGCTTACTTCATTTTAAACATACATTAAAACATCATAAAAGTGGAAGTATCACATTATTACATCATTTAGAAGTCGAATGGAATATGGAACAAAAGAATTAAAATATCTAGCAATTGCCCGATCTTAGTAGATATAGTCTTTTTGACCTCATACCGATATAAAATTTATTTAAAGGATTATTGACATCTTCACAATTTTTTTAGACTTAGTTATTGTTATCTTGTTACATAGGTCAAATCAGTTGTAAAACTGTCAAAATATTTTAACAAATTTAAATTTAAATTTGAACTTTTGTTATTTTACTACAATAATTGAATTCATCTTAAATAATGTGTTAGATAGACTTATGGGATTATAATATTGGCTAGGAAATATTAATTTCTCGTTCTAATGTCATTTATAATTTAAATATAAAAAGTTGAACCATCGCAGTGTTTAATGTTACTGTTCAGTAGGGGTGGTGCATGTATAATTCATGTTTAATAATGAGCAATACTGTTTAACAGTGCATTTTTGTTGCAAATAGATTTGGATTCTCTATCAACACAAAGTATCCCGACTACCGGCAAGTCCTCGGACACACAATAGTACAGTACACAT